TGAAAACGCCATTGTGATTGCACCAATCCTACAAAACAATATACAGCTGAACTTCCTTACAAAGAAGCTTAATTGCTCAGCAGATGATTGTGAAAATACTAATATCCGTCCGTTGCTGGTCAAACCTGGTTATATTAAAATTAATGTTTAGTATGTTACATGCCTATTACAATAAAAGACAAGTTTGAATTTAGATATCTGGAGGAACATAAACAAGATGAGTCAGTTACCTCAAACATAGTACCTTATACACATGTGTAGCCCTCCAAAGAGGAAATCCTTTCTACTAGAACAATTAAAATAAAAAACACAGACATTTGAAACTAATATTTGATCCAAATGAAAATTTAAATTTATTTATTTTGATGGCAAAATTCTTGACAAATGTTTCAGTAATTAGAACAGTGGGACCTTGGATACTTTGTGTCTTCATTATATGGATATTGAGATAGGAAAAAGGAAAGAGGGGATTAGATCTGGAGAGACTAAGACCGGAAATGGATGCCTAGAAGCAAAGTTGAAGAATGGAATTTGTAACCATACTCCTAATTATTGCTATTAGAATGAAGCATAGCAACTATAGGGAGGGAAATTCAGTGAATGATAAAAGTCCTACCACAAAAAGAGAGAATGCTTATGCTTTTAGAAAAAGGAGTGCCACAAAATAACCTGTAATGAGCATAGATAAGAAGAATCAGTAACCTTTCTAGCATGGGAGGGAGAGGGGCTGAGCATCTAAGGGATGCACAGCACTTGATAAATAACTTTTGTTGGGTGGAAAAATACTGCCAAGAGATAGGGCAAGCTATCAATATGGACGACTGCAGACATTTCATTATGACTTGAGGAAGAAGGTCAGATTAGACTAATTTAGAGATACCACAAAAGACACTTCACCTAAACCCTGGAGCATTATTTATAGAAATTCAAGAAATAATCTAAAAAGCTCAGGGATGCGAAGTCATCATTCTTGCCAGAGAAATGGTAAATCCTAGGAATTTAGAGTAAAAATGAACAGAATTCAAAACTTAGTTTAATACTGTAAAGCCATAAGCTAGTAGAAGTTTTGAACTGTCTACAGTGACAAATGACTGGCTCACTCTTTGCTCTAGTCTAGGACAACACATCAAGATGGTAACATAGACAATGTTGCAGTGACACCTTCTGGTCACCTGAGGGCCCTCTTGAGAAAGTCCACAGGCAAGTACTTCCTCTTGAAGACTTAAAAAGGCCTTGGGGCCTACGTAGGACCTCTTGGACTAAACCCTTTCTTACTCTTCTGACACTGGCTTTTGAAGGAGGAACCAGCAACTTTGCCCCTCTGCGCCCACAGGCAGGAGTGAAGCTGATCATCTGGACAAAGGACCCTGATCCTGAATGTAAGCAGGTAGGAGGCCTTCAACCCAGTTTCTTCCTTAGGCATGGTTCATTGGTCAGGTGTGTCGTATTTCTAGTGACTCATTAAAATTCAGCTATGATTAATAATTTTATTAAGTTTTAAATTTAGTCTTCTATCCAGTTCTGTGGCTCCCTCTTTGTTTTTTCTAGTTGGATGTCTTCATCTCAAACCCTAATTTGGGTCCAGAATATTTCATGAGATGATTTTACATTAAAATCCATTTAAAGTAAACATTAAAAAGTCCAGGATTAAAAAAAAAAGATTCCACAATAACCCATGCAAACTTAATTTAATTCGACTTTTGATTCTGTAAATACATTTGGGGATTATCTCCTTTACCTTCCCAAAGGACCTTCTGAGGTCTGCAGTCAAAATAGCAAATAAGAATGATTCTTTTCCTTGGCTTTGAAAAAAATGTTATTCTGAGTGCCCTTAAGCTACACCATTCAGATACAAGCTGAGGCCCAGGGAGGTTAATTAAGTTCCTCTGAGTTGAAGCAAGAGTTGAAATTTGCACTCAGGTTTTTTTGATTCCAAATCTAATGAGCTTTCCATTACACTGGGCTACCTCTCTTTAAAAAAACCAAAACAATATACAAGTATTTATGTATGTGTTATGCTTACAATACTATACTAGGCTGTTGTGAGGAAAATTAAAGAAATTTTTAAAAATATAGTCTTATTTCTCAAACAATTTTGTTGGGCAGAAAAGATTAATACACAAGACACAAGAGGAAAATAATTCAGGTCCAAAACTGTTTTCAATTACTTACTAAATTGTGCTACAGGATATCACCACCATTGATTTACACACAAAAAGTGGCACAAAAGAGATCTCAGTTGATATGTATGCGTGTTTAAGTAGAGAAGTATACGCTAAAATATAACCTACTGAACTGAGAGAAGGGAGAATTGTATAGATTAGGGTAGTTGGGAAAGACTTCTTGGAGAGCATGGAACTTGAGTTCCTTGAAGAGAATCTACTATTTGAATGGGAAGACAAGGGAAAAGGGGTTTCAGGGAGAGGGAACAAAAAAGCAGAACTAGATTACAAAATAGTCCTTGAACTTGGATTTAGTATGCTAGGCAACAGAGAACAGTTATGCATTCATTTATTGGGAAATGATTTGATAAAAAAAATAGTTATTTGAAGAAGATTAGTCTGGCAGATGTTTGCTAGTTGAATTGGAGAAGACGGGTCTACTAAATCAGCTAGAAAGCTACAGTAGTAGATGTGAGGTAAGGAGAGTCTGGACTGGATTATGGCAACGGGATGAAAAAGGGGTGCATCTGAGAAATATAAAGAGAACAAAGATGATGGCCGTTTGCTGAACAATACTGCCTCATCTGGCAAGGGGTAACTTTCCCCAATAATCCTTTCCTAACAATCAGTTGTGTCTCACACACACACACACACACTTGTGGGAGCACCCAAATGATTTCTGAATAATAGTCCAACTCTATGTCAGGCAATGGATAAGGGCACATGGCAATGCCAATTTTTCAGAAATTCACAGTTCCTGTTTGAAGTTTTCTAGCAATGTTTCCAAATCTTAGCAGGTTAAGTCATTAGACTGTTGACACCGAAGGGACTGGATTTTATAGCTCTCTCTCTCTCACCAGCAATAAAATAGCCAATGTTCTACATGTATATGGGCCTATTATGTAACACATGAATATGGTTATTAGGTGTTGTGTCATTCAGTAACCCACTGTGTGTGTCATTTGGGAACCCTAGCAGGCGAGCAGCGGTGAGTAGGTGGTGTTAAGAATGTGTGAGTAGGAACAGGAATGATGTGATTGCAGCAACAGAAGAGGAAGATGATAAAGCTCTTGGATTTGCATTAGTACAATTAGGAGAGATAACAAAAAAAGTCACCTTTCACTAGAAGATACTGAGAAAATCATCTATTTCTCTCTAATATAAAGTACTCTTATGGCGATAGGTGTTTTTATGATGTCCTGTCTATTCCTTGATCGAATGTCATCTAATATTAAAATGGATGGTCCTGAAGAAACTGAATTTCATAAAGCATAAATAAAACCTCTGTTTAAAAGTTAATTATTAAAGTGTTCATCTTAAATTGAGCAGAGGAGAATGGATGAAGAAAAGGAGTTAGGGAGGGGATCTATAAACATTAACTTAACTGTTGGTACTTAAACTTGAGATTCTTGTCCAAAGGAGGTGTCTGAAAAGAGGGAAAGCCTCCTCATACGTGGAAGCCTATTCAGTGCATCATCTTGGCTCTTTCATCTTTCAGAAAAGTGATTTCCAGGGAAAGTTACTTCTGTCCCTTTAAAGATCACAAGAGAAACTGGAAGTCAGTCAGTCTTTTCTGACTGGCTGCAGACTATTCCAATGAGGTACTGGGAATCTTGTTGAGAGATGCCATTTGGGGTTGGGCTCAGAGCTGTGTTAGGCAACCGCAAGACAGAAACACAAACTTGGGTAAGAGAAACTTTTATATGTCTCTTCAATGAAGGGATTAAGATGCAGTCAGAATTATTTGTTTTTACTTGCCTCATTTTGAATGAGCTAAACAGTTTAAAATTACTCATTCTCAAAGATGAGAGGCAGATGCCTGGGTAAAAAAGGGTGTGTGTATGGGCAGTTAACTTGTTTCCTTTCCTTATTCCATGTCCCCCTCCCTTTCCCCAAGTTACCTCCTTTCCTTTTGTGCCAAGGACATTCTGGACGGATCTTTCCAGCATCTCAAGAGCATCTTCTGGGAGAGACAGACTGTCGGCTGAGGACAATCGGATTGTTTTCATATAGCTTATGTTCTTAACAAATAAAACGTGATATTTTTAAAATTCTAAGTGGAAAATACACCACTTCAGAGACATCTCCCAAGACACCAGTTGCATGGAGGGCAGTTGTGATTTTTTTTTAAGTATGTACTATCTAGAAGATTCTTATCCACACCTTTGCATACTTTCTTTGGAGGTGCCCTACCTACCAAATAAGCTACGAGATAAGAGGGCACTCTGGGTGCCCGGACCACGCTGCTCACTTTGCTGTGCCACCACCTCTGGGCATGCCAGGGCTGCTGTACAAAGTGTGCTCGTGCCGGGGAGGATGGATGGCATGGCCCACCCTGGGGAGGCCGGAGTGGACGGGGACTGCTCTCGGATAGTTTTCTGGGGACGCGGCTTTCGGCTTATCCCCCACCCCTCAATTCCGAGGCTGCCACCTTGTTCCCTCTCACCGCGCCATTCCCCCCTGACCGTAGCCAGGGAAGCAGAACGTGGCACTGAAACCCGTAACCAAGCAGGCGGGCGCTCAGGGATGCGAGTCGAGTCCACCTAAAGAAAGGGCCGCGCGACGCCCCCCTACCCCCATTTCCCTCTTCCGTAGGGGAGGCCTTAGGAGCCGCCCCTCCGCCCACCCGGGGCTCCGAGCGAGCCGATAAGCTGTTCTCCCAGTGGGGGGCGGCCCCCTCCCCGCCCCTCCGGAGGGGGGCTCGGAAAGAGGAACTACAATTCCCAGCAGCCCCCGCGCCCGGCTCCCCCCGCCCCCGCCCATCCCCTCGCGGCCCCCCCCCAACCCCGCCCTCCGGCGGTAGGACCGGACGGGGAGGGGAGCTGGGGAGGAAAGGAGGGGGGGAGGAGAGGAAGGGGCGCTCGCAGCGGGCGGGATGAGGCGATGCGCGTGAGGCGGCGCGGGCTGCTCGGGGCCAGGACTGAGGCGGCGGTGGCGGCGGAGTTCCCCACGCTCGGACCCAGCCCGCCTCGGCAAAGTAAGTAGTCGCCGTCGGAGCGCAGCCGCGGGCTTGGAAAAAAGTTAGAGCGACCGAGAGCCCGGGGCCGCCGCTTTGTTCTCGCGGGCGGGGGGCGCGCGGGACCCCGGCCCGGGGGCGGGCGGGGCGGCGGGCGCCGGACGGGGGAGAGCCGCTCGGGCCGGGCCGGGGCCGACCGCGGAACTTTTCTGTCTCGCGTCTTTTGTGGCTGGCGCGGTCCCGGTCCGGTCCCGTCCCGGTCCGGCGCGTGGCTCTGCGCGGGCCCGTCAGCCTCGCTCTGCGACTTGCCCTGCGCCGCGCCGTCCGGACTGGGCTCCGGGGCTGCCCAGGTGTCCTCGGGGGTCACTCCTTGGGTGCCCGAGACCAGCGGGGAGGGGGAGGGGAGGTCTGTTTCATTAGTGCCGGGACTCGCGCTGCCCCTGCAGAAATTTGGGAAAGTTGTCGCACTTCAGCCCTATCTTTTATGATACCGTTAGCTCCAAATTGGTGTGAATGGTGCTTTTAAAAAATGGGTCTTTTCTCAATTTACAGGTATTTTTTCTCTGCCTCCAGTTGGTGAGAGAGAGGGAGAGAGAGAGACCGAGAAAGAGACAGACAGTAGGGGGAAGGGGGAGAAAGAGGCAGAGGTAGGGGAGAGACAGAGACGGATCGACAGACAGAGAGACAGCAGATGGGGGGGGCAGAGAGAGAGAGACAGAGACAGAGAGGCAGACGGGGGGAGGAGGGAGAAAGAGACAGAGGTAGGGGAGAGACAGAGACAGACCAACAGACAGAGAGACAGCAGATGGGGGGGGCAGAGAGAGAGAACACTCCTATGTAATATGTGTGTAGTCAAGCAATACAAATTCCCACATTGGCCAGGTCCAAAAATATATGTCTCATTCTGCATCTTGGCTCCATCACTTTTCTGTCAGACGGTGGGTATTTTGAAAATCATGGGTGTCTCTTACTCTTGCCCCCCACCCCACTGCCCCAATTTCCTGATTGTTTAGATTTTTTGGGGGGGGGCAGATTGTTGCCTTGATGCGCGTTGTTTTGAGCTGGTGTGTGTAGGGAGGCTTTTAAAGGTTAGAAGACTCAACTGTGCCACTGTTTGTTTTCATATTACAAATAAATAACTGTATAATAACTGTTTGGGTGTCTCTGGGCTATTTTATTGAAATACTCAGACTTAGGCCTTGCCTTCTGAGCAGCTCCTGATATAAATCAAATTGACTGACTTAATGTGACCTGCAAACCTTTCTGTTGATAGATGGCAAGACATGTATTTAACAGCCACACCCATACATACAGGAAATGAGACTTATCAGTGTCATCTTTGATTGTGTAGGATAAATTTTACGTTGAACTACTGACTATGGGTTTAAGTGAGGTTGTAGAGGAGAGGCTATGCAGATAACAAAATTTTAGTTTTTAAAAAGTTTGATAGAATTTTGTTAGAAAAAATGTTACTGTTATAAAGGGATATTGGATGGAATACCATACTTGGAGGCAGGAAGATCTAGTTTCATAATCTTGCTTGTGATGGTTAGTAGCTGAGTAATGTTGGAAAAGTCAAGTCACAACTTCTGAACTTAGTGGTAACTCTCTAAGACATTGAGTTATAGAAGAGCTGTTAAAACTGCTTTTATTCTGCACTTAACATAGCAATTATTCTTTGATGTATTGACTGTAATTATTATTGTTAAAATTGTATTTCTTTCGCATGTAATTTAATATGTAATATTTGCAGATACCTAAACTTTCAGAGTTAGCAGTTTTGCTTATATTGTGATTATTTTTAAAAGCCTATGGCAGAAGATGGAGAGAGAGCTATAGTTTTGTCTTTTAGAGGCTTTGTAAAAGTGGATGTTTTATAGGGGTTTACTCCAATTTTACTTTTTAAAAGTATCCTGATAGCTTTATTTTGGTGGAGTTTTCAATAAAATCTGGATTGAAATCAGTCATTGGGAATTCAGGTAAAAGATTCTTGATATATTAATTTTGGTCAAAGTAATATTTGGGCAGCTAGGTGACAAAGTGGGTAGAGCCCCTGGCTTGGAGTCAGTAAGACCTGAGTTCAGATGCAGCCTCAGACACTAATTAGCTGTGTGACCCAGGGCAAGTCACTTAACCCTGTTTGCCTCAGTTTCCTCATTTGTCAAATGAGCTGGAGAAGGGAATGGTAAACCACTCCAGTATCTTTGCCAAGAAAACTCCAAATGGAGTTACAAAGAGTCAGACAGGACTGAACAAAAACAAAAGTAATATTTATAATGTAAGTATCATTAATCACAGTTTTCAATCCAGTAGAAGATATGTATAAATAATGGCATGGCTGATGAGAAGAGCTTGTACTCATCCTTTGTAACAAATTAATTTCCCTGATAGTCCTTATAATTTAAAATATTTCACATTTTATATCAACATGGCTCAGATTCAAGTATGTTCTCCAGTTTACTTTTTAAAACTTAATTTAAAAAATGTGCCAAAGAGCCTTTTGAATATATAAAAACCATAAACTTTCAGTTTCATCAGGTGATCTTTTTAAAATAGAAATTGGTTCCTGTTCAGTGGATTAGTCTTAATGGAACCATTGACATAAGTAAATCATTTGGTTTTCATACAAAGTATCTTCCATGTAAAATTAATAGCAGTTACTTATATGAAAAATTGAAGGTATATTTAAGTCAATTTCTCTGCTTTGGTTGGGAAAGAAACATTTAGTCTTTATTTTAAAGGACAAATCTAAAATTATTTGGAACATTTTAAGTTATTGCCCATTTTTAAAGAAAGTTAATTGATACAGAACTTGCTCTGTTGGGAAATTATTTGAGAGTTTGTTAAATTATGTTAGAATTGAGAGTTTGTTAAATTATGTTAGAATTGAGAGTTTGTTAAATTATGTTAGAATTGTGTTGTAAAGTGGGGGTTCATAACTTTTGGTTCTGGTGGTCTTTGCATCCTATTAAAAGTTAAATATAACTCAGATAAGAGAGCTGTTGGTATTATATTAAGATTTTTCCCAATTACTTAATTCAAGTTGATCTTCTTAATGTTCTTATCTATTTGGAATTGTATCATAAAACACATGTGGTAATTTATTTAGGACACAGTAATGCTTAGTTTCACTGTCAATTGCAAGAACGGCTTTGAGGGGAAAAAAACCCTACCTGTTTCCTCTTTTTGAAGTTTTACCATTAAAGTAATATTTGAGAAATTACTTCTTTGAATATTAATGAGTCATACATTTCAATAACAGTGGTGCAGAATGGTGATAGATATATCAAGGCTAGCATATGAGCGAGCATGGATCATTCCTGTCTTGAGAGCTTCTAGACTTGAACTTGTGCTATTTGTGGTCCATTAGCTGAAAATTGGCTTGTCTAGATGAGGGGTGGTGGTGGTGGTGCATGCCTTCCAACTTCCTTTATTCTACCTGAGAATTAGCAGGTATTCGTTCCACTGCAAAGCATAAGACTTTGGCCACATGTGGCAAGATGGAGGACATCAAGTACTTAGATAACAGGCAGAAATTTATTGCAGCTAATAGAGACCTGATAACTGATGCCAGGAGAAAAGAGCTACAGTGGCTTTGGACGAATTTGTGAATAGAAAATCCTGAACCTTGATTTTTGTCTTGGTAAAAAAAAAGTGTTTAAAAAGTCATGTAAAAATGTTTTTTTTAAATCACTGCAGTGATTATAAACTGATGTTAGGTATTTGCCTAATGGAAGTTTGCAATCTAAGGAAAATGGAAGTGGCCACATGATCAATATCTATTGAAACAGGCCACATTGTATTCTAATCAGTAAGCATATGCCTGCCAACAAAAAACAAAAGAACCTTTAGCTCCTCCACATTTCAAACATAAATGAGACTGAATTTAAATTAACAGATTTCTAGTGAGGATAAATGTAAGGATTATTCCATTCTTCATGTTCTAAATATAAAAAAAAATCTTTTCTCATTTTCTTCAGTACAAATCATTTTAAGCTAAAACATCAAGATTCCTTTTAACATATTTTACAACTGTGTAACAGATTCAGAGGAAAAAAAAGGAAAAGTCTTGAAATACAAAAATGGGAAGTATGCTTTCTCTCTGTAAGGGTTTTAAACAGACATAGTCCATTCATTTCTGCTTTGTATACTGTGAAAGATTATTTAAAGGGACTATGTGAGAGATACCTTTGAAACAGCACCAGAGAAGTTTTTAATAAACAAAATAGAAGTACTTGCCAACTTGATGATAATATCAGTGGTGTGGGCTTTCTGTTCTAGGTGTTAAAAACACATGGATTTTATCCAGTTGATCTAATTGGTTTGATAGAGAACAGGTACTATTTTCTTCATTTTATAATTGAAGAATAAAGGCATACATAGATGTTCCATGATGTGGCTGTATTGTTGAGAACATGACTCTGTTCTGAACATTTAATGTAGGCCTCAGGTTTTTTGAATTCCAGTCTACTATTTTGACCTCTACATATTAACTGCCTTTTGCACAGCAAATCAGAGTTCCAATTAAGTTTATCACATAAACAAAGTAAGGAGAGGGAAAACAGATGGAATGAGTGGGTAGAAGCTAATGTGACAGCTCACTTAGTTTCTTCTATGTGTGTGCCTGTTGAAATGTATTACAGTAGCTAATTAAAATGTTTTCTATAAAAATTGTCCTGATTGTTTGGATGTAGCTTAATATAGAAATAATGTATATTTTGGTACTGAATTTAGTCATCTTATTAAATGTTTGTGAAATTTTACTGTTATTTAGCTGTTAAGCCCTAATGGGAAAATAAAAATGAAATTTGATGAAAAGGGCCCAACAAATAAGAAATACACCATTATTTAATTTAAGAATTTGCATATCTTTTACTTGTATATGAAACTATATAACTATCAAGTAGCCTTTATGAGTAGCATTATTTTTTAAGATTTACAGTGTAGTATCCACAGTATGATAGATACTATTTGTTATGTTATTATACCTCATTGACTATTATCTTATTGTTTTGTCTTGCTCTTTAAAATTGCTTGAATCAGATATGTAATCATAATATTTAAGGAAATTTTAATTCTATGTTTTGTCAGAGTTAGAAAAAGCATTTTTGTAATTTATTGCCAATGAAAGTGAACTAGCATCACATAATATACACTTTCTACCTGCCAGATAACATGAATTTTTATGTGTATATATATATATATATATGTATACATTTACATGAATTCCAAAAAACCTCTTCATAGTCATGGCAGAAACACTTCCCCCCTTAGAAAATTATCTAGAGTTTATTAAAGTGTACAAATAGGGATGGTGACAGTTACAATTGTGATAAGTAGGTAAATTTATCTGTTGCTGTGCCTTCCCTTTTTTAGATCCCTTTTTTCCACTTAGAAACATTAACCCACTCCCTCAGCATTGTTATTCCTGTCTAGGGAAAGTATTTTATGTTGGTCATTTCTACTTCAGTTTGAATGTGTTGATTCATCTAGGAGTATTTGCATTTTAAATCGAATGATAGATCTTAGAATTAATAGTGAAGTTGGCATGTATCCAAATTTTGCTTGAACACCTATGGTAGAGAACTTATTTTCTGAAATGGCAGCTTATTCCATTTTTCAAATAATTATTGGAATGGTCTTTATACTGAGATAAAATCTGCTTTCCTGTGACTTTCACTTATTGATCCTAGATGTAGATATTCTCTGGAGCAATACAAATAAACCTACTCCCTCATTCATATGACAGCTTCTTAAATATTTGAAGATAGCTTTTGTGTTTCCCTGTTTTAGTCCCTTCATGCAATGCATTCCCAGTTTCGTCAGTTATTCCTCATATGACATGGTTTCTAGATCCTTCATCATTATGATGGCTCTTCTCTGTACCTCCTAGTTTTAAAATTGTCTCTTATGTAATGTAACATTCAGGTTAGAGTACAATATTCTACATAGAGTCCAACCAATACAAAATGTAATGGAACTTTTTTTTTTTTGATTGGAATAGCTTAAAATGGCGTTAAGACCTTTGGGACACTCTGAATTGCTTGTCTTCTATTAACCTTATGGTCAACTAAAATCCATAAGTTTTTCTCACATGAACAATATTCTTGCTATCTTAAATTTGCAGAGTTAATTAAGAAAAATCTAGGTGCAGGACTACTTCATGTTTTTCCCAATTAAATTGCGTCTCATTGTTTTTGACTATTTTAGACTATCAAGATCATATCCAATCTTGATTATATTCTTTATCATGTTATTTATTCCTCTCAGCTTTGTATCATTTTCCATATTTTACAAATATGACTTTTATTGTCTCTAACTGCAAATCTAACTACTAAAATCCAACAATTTTCCATTTTATCCTCAAAAATGTAATGACTTAGCTAAATATTTTGTGAAAATCAATAGAATTCCACTCATCTACCAACCTAGCACTTTTATTTAAAATATAGAATTAAATTATTTTGTTTTAAATTTTTTAGTGAATCTGTATTGTCTCCTAGGGATTACTGTATTTTTTTTCCTAAGTACTCTCTGTTTGATAATCCTACAGTGTAGAATTTTACTGAATATTGTCAAGTTTACTGGTTTATTGTTTTTGAAATTCATGCTTTTAGTCTTTTTAAAACTTAATTTTTCAATCTTTAGTATACCTGGAGTACTTTCATTTTCAATGACTATACAAAAAATTAGCCCCATCACTCAGCAAGATCCTTCCAGGGGTGGGGAACCTCCTTTAATTTACGGCAGTATAATTTGTCTGGATCTGGAGACCATTTTAGATTAAGCTGCTCTTTTGTTAGTTCTCTGGCCATCATGGATTTTAGTTCTTGGATAATTGGTTTAACTTTCCATTTTGAATTTCATTCTCTTCGGTGGAGGAGATGGAAGCAAGAGGAAAAAATGAGTAGTTCTGATTTCTGCCTATCATCAAGTAATATTAGATGAGGATGATGATTGATTGTAGTGATAGAGGAGGAAACATAGAAATCGACCTGCCATTTGCTTGGGACATATGGCACCATCTTTTCCAAGCAATGGGCCTATGATTTCCTTGTTGAAAGGTAGCATACAATGAGTAGAAAAAGCATCAGCTTAGGAATTGGATGATGTGTATTCTAGTTTTAGCTTTTACTTTGTGACCTTAGAGAATTCCCTTAACTTTGCTGAGCTTCAGCACCATCATTTTTAAAGGGATTGGAAGAACAGATCTCAATGATAACTTGCCCAACCTACTGCATGGCATGTTTCTGAGAGTTAAATGAAATATGTAAAATGTATGTGAAAGTATTTTTTAAACTGTGCAGTTCTATAAAAATGTACAGCATTTCAGACTTAGCTTTTTGCAAACCTCGTTATTGGTTTCCTTGACACTATTCTTACAGGTTGCATTCATCCATGGTTGTATGTTCCACTTGCATCTTTTGTTACATGTAAATTTTCATTCAACAAAGAATTCCCTCTGTAGCTACTAATTTCTTTAGGTTATTTACTTATCTGTTTGACCTTAGGCAAATCATTTAATTTCCAGGTACCTCAGTTTCCTCATATGTAAAATGAGGGGGTTGGACTAGATGAATTCTGAAGTCCTTTTTTCTAACTTTGCATCTATGATTCTCTAATGCCTTATTTTTCTTATTGGGAGCATTTATAATTATATAGTCACAATATTTTAAAAAATCTCAGATAACTCATGAGACTTTTCCTTGTTAGATTTCTGCTTCAGATTCTTTCCAATTTATCAATGAATTTTTTATGATCTGCATTCCCAAAGTGAAGAATGCATGATGAACTATGCCTAGTACTCTGTTGCTGCATTATTACAAACTCTGAGATGATGCCATTTTCTCTCAAGATTCCTGTCACTTCCATGTAACCAACCAGTTCCTCCCTGTTGATTAGCATTAAATCTGTGATAACAGTTCCTTTATTCCTTATCTGATCTTCTAAGATGAAATAGTAATCAAGATAAATTAAGAATTTAGCAGAATTGAACTTCTAGCAAATTTCAGAATAATTGTAGTACCCCCATCATTGTTATATATTTGTCCTGTGCAAGCTTTCAGAACTTAAGAAAGCATTATCCATATTCTTCATGACTAGGAATTATGCTCCCACAGTAATATTGTTTTTTTTTCTTTTTCTCTTTAACACAAGTATTTTTTAGTAGAATGAAAGGCTTTTGTCTCTTGGATTTTAGGGCATGTTGCTAGGCAGTCCTTTTTGATTTTCTTGAAATGACCTCCATCTTAGCTGGCCCTGTCTTTAAGGACAGTTTTATAGTAATAGAATGATAATTAGGCAATGTTATAGGGAAAGGTATTAGTCATTAGGTGCTCTCAGCCAATACAAAAATGGATTAATCGTAAATATGCTTATAAAAGCAAAAAAATCACTGTACTCAAGGTATTAAATGTTAGTACCTTAAATTTTTACTTTATGTCAATTTGACTCTAAAATGGTAACATTTCTTTTCTTTTTTTCCTCTTACCAGGCGGACTGAATTTCAAAATGCTTCAGTTTTTCTGGACGAACCCTGTGATCAAATATAATATGCATGTACCCTTTTAAAAAGCTCTGCATTTCATCAGAGAATATTTGTAGAAATGAATATGAGGACATTTCTGAAGATCATTTAAACGTTTCCAATCATGTCTGTGAACTAAAGGACAGTTTTTTAATAGATTAATCTTAAACACTTTTTTTAAAGCATTAGTAACAATAGTAATAAGAGGCTGTTATCTTTCTTTAAAAAAAAAGCAACTAAAGACATTTATGGAAGGAAACATTCAATATGCATTTTCTGAAACTAAAAGCGAGAGACAAGAACAGATTTAAAAGGAAACAAATGAAGATGCATGGTAAATAAAATTTGCTGTGATAAGGACAAGTGATGTTAAATCCTTTGCTAGCACTTGGTTGTTTTCTCAAAGACACAGCTTTTTTTGATAAAGGGGCTGATATTTAGGGGGAAAGGATTAGTTACTGATAAAGTTCCTAGCTGAAGAACTTGTGATCATTGGCATGTGTGGCTTAAAAGGGAAAATAAGCAAGAAGCTTTTAAATAAGTCAAAAAGTGAAATAATTTTTTTTTACTGCTATAATTTTTAAGAGCCTCAATATAACATTTAAGATAAATTGACAGCCATTTCAAAAGATTTAAAGAAAGGCAGATGTCCGCAAACAACTCCCCTCCATCGGCACAGAAGTCTCTCTCACCTGCATCTCTCTCTGCTGTGCTTGCAACTCCTTCTCCATGTTCAAGTCCCAAGACAGGACTCTCTGGCCGTCTCTCCAATGGAAGCTTCAGCACACCATCGCTTACCAATTCCAGGGGCTCAGTGCATGCAATATCGTTTCTGCTGCAAATTGGTCTTACAAGGGAGAATGTTACCATTGAGGCCCAGGAATTGTCCTTATCTGCAGTGAAGGATCTAGTCTGCTCAATAGTTTATCAGAAGGTATGTCACAAGATCTTCAATATTGTTGATCGTTTTGATTAATGTTTCTTTTACTTGTGAGTAATATACCTAACAAGGAATTAGTACACAGATAGGTCTCAGTACTAAGAAAAAAATGAATGTGATTATTGTAAATATTTTAGAAAGAACTCTAATATTTCATCTTGGGATATCAACCTGAATTTAAATGTTAATAACTGAAATAATATACATTGGGGGTATGGATTTATGTGATTTTATAGTTTTCATATTTTTGAAAGCTAAAAATTTTTGCTGTGCAAATATTAAACTTTTGCTTCTCTTGTCATTATTCTGGTTATACCCTGATTGCTTTGAATCATTCGTGATTTTTCACTTTGGGTAATCTGCAGCTTGGAACCCTTCCATGCCTTCTTCTACCTAGATTATGCTGTCAAAAAATTTCTAAGCTTTCCACTGCCTGTTTAAGAAATAGATCCCATGAGATGGTAACAGGCTAAAATGATGTATTAGTCTCTCCCATACCTTTAATTTTGTTTTGCAATTTCTTGTACTTCGAATGGTCTTTCATCTTACTATGGAATTACTTCCATATTAATGGCACCCTGATAGACCAGATGAAAAGGTGTGAAGTCAGACCCAATCTTATTACTTTGCATGACTGATATTGGAAGTAAAAGAGAGAAAACTATGTGCAAGGTTGGATTAAAAGCTGCTTGTCATGTATAAAATGTTAACAAAAAACCAAACCACCCTTGTAGCTGAATAAGATTAACTTTAAAACAACCAGCCAAACAATAAAAAAAGGAATTTTCTGGCTAAACAATTTCTTTGTAATGGGGCATAAATGAAAAGGCTTCTGAATATTTGCCCTGTGTGCTCTAGGCCTCATTCTGAGGTGGGATCAGGAATAGAAACTTGTGTAGGATAAGCCGAGTATTTCCAAACGCAGGCTGCCATGTCTCTTAAAGGCTAAGAAAGGTAGAAACTAAGAGGTTTCCACTCAGAGAGGAGTCAGTCTGAATGAATTGTGGACACCTACTGAGCCATGGAGGCCAGAAGCAAAAAGTATTGTTTGATTTAGAAGCAGGGGCTTTCTATCTGGATCATCAAGAGGGTCTGAAAGGGGCAAGTGAAGAGACAGTCTGGGATCAGGCCATTTTATTCCATGTTAGAATAATGAGGATATCAGTTCTACAGAGTTCCCTACATTCTGTTTTCTGTGGGTTGGGTACATGTTTGTGTACCCTGCTCTTAAGCTTCCTCTAATTTCACTGTAGCTGGACAGCTCCAACCAAGGCCTGCATTACTTGCCATGGAAACTGCAGCTAAGTGGAAGTGGACAGGCACGTTGGCGCTATGGAATATGTCTAGAGCTAGGTGACTAGCATGGTGAGGTTGCTCAAAACAGTGTCATGTGAGAATCTGTTGAAAAAAAATTAGTGATATTTTACCTGGGGAAGAAAAGACTTGTGGGGAACATGCTGTTTTCATGTACTATCACATGGAAGATGAAATCAAGACTTTGTACACTGTGACTCCAAAGGGCAGCACCATTGCCAATAGTAGAATTAACAAGGAAACAGATTTCAGTACAGAGTAAGGAAGAACTTCTAAATGATTGCAGCTGTCTGAAAGTGGAATGAATTGCCTTCTGGTGAATCAGTGTAAATTTTCAAATAAATCAAGGATGTTGTGGGAGTTGAAGTAGAAAACCTCTGGCTAGGATTCCCTTCAGTTCTGATGCTAGTCGCCACATCATTGCACATTTTAGAATTTCTTTGAGTTTCTTATTTCTACCCATTCTCTATAATCATTGAGATAGTGGCATAGAAATCTGCTTAAATGATGTCCAAGTCTTTGACTTTTTCTTCAGCAATTTTGAAATTTGAGTTTTCAGATTTCATTTTCTTATTCTATAAGATTAATATATTAGTAATTTTAATTTTATTATCTTTAACTTTTATGTTCTTTATTCATTGATGGACTGATCTTTAGTCTCTTTCACTTTTTCTTTTTGTGTATTTAATGCTTCCTTTAGTTTATTTCTCTTAACATTTTTCTTTTGCTCTTATGCCATTCCCATAAACATGTTATTTGGTTCTGTCTTTCTCATCTTTACTTCCAATCCACAGTTTTCTTTGAACAAAGGTTATTGAGTAGTTGTTTGGAAAATTTGTTATGGAATAGGAAAAAGTTCTGATTACCTCTGAGTTGTGCTTTAACCATTTTTTGATGTAAAGAAATTTTAAAAAAACTTTAAAAATCCTAGCCTGATATTAAAATAATATTGGAGGAATTTGAATCCATATCTTTGGCACATTTTTCATGATTTAGTGATTTTTTTTGATGCATCTGTAACTTGTTTATGATCAAGTAAGAACCAAGTTTCCAGAGAGACTTTGAAAAGTGTTGGCCTCATGGATTAAAACTCTGGATTGTAGGAGAGAAAGACCTATTAATTTGTATTATCCATTTTGTGGCTTGTCACTGCATTGTCCTTTTAGTATATTATACTATAGTATTTTATAGTATTTTAAGAGCACCTTAATTTAACATCACACAAGATGAAACTTTTGTCACTCTCAGTTTTGTGCAGCAAATATTTATTAAGTACCTGCTTTGTACAAGGCATTTTTCTAAGGCCTGACAGAAATACAGTAAAGAACTAGTCCCTGACCTTAAGGAGATTTCAGATGTTAGCTCCCTGTTATTATAGGTCTCTGTTATTATATTATAATTAGCTCCCTGTTAGTGGGATTTTCCTGATGATGAATTTTTTTTGGTGGGGCAGTCAGGATTAAGTGACTTGCCAAGGGTCGCACAACTAGTGTCAGGTGTCTGAGGCCAGATTTAAACTCAGGTCTTCCTGACTCTAGGGCCGGTGTGATGAATCTTTTTTTTTTTAAAGTGTGAATTGTAACAGATGCAAGGAAAAACAGTTACAGTAATAGTGCTTAAGATTTGCAGTGATTGTAGTCTGTCATACTTCTGAAGAGCAGCTTGGTGGGACAGTGGATGGAGTACTAGGTCTGAGATCAGAAGACTCTTCTTGAGTTCAAATTCAGCCTCAGACACTTACTAGCTGTGTGACCCTGGACAAATCACTTCACCCAGTTTGCTTCAGTTTCCTCATCTGTAAAATGGTCTGGAGAAGGAAATGACAAACCACTCCAGTCTTTGCCAAGAAAACCAGATGAGGTCACGGTGTCAGACACGACTGAAAACAATACCACTTTTGAAAAATCAGCTTAGTTTAAAAAAAAAACACTTAACTTTTTGCTTATTGCTCAAAATTCCTAAATATCCTCACACTCAGCTAAAATGACTGCTCTGTTATACAGAATTAAAATCTGTCTTGATCTAAGAGATATAACCTTTAGAGTCAAATAATCTGAAATGTTTCTTCTATGTAATAGAGAAACATGTAGGGGCAGCTAGGTGACACAAGGGATAGAGCACCAGCCCTGAAGTCAGGAGGACCTGAGTTCAAATTCGGCCTCAGACCAAACACTTGACCCTTACTAGCTGTGTGACCTTGGGCAAGTCACTTAACCCCAATTGCCTTTAAAAGAAAACAAACAAACATGTAAACCTCCTATTTTGATGTATGAACTTGTATGTATTGGAATGGTACTGTATTGTTTTTTAAATGCATACTCATCCTAAGTAATAAAAACTGGTGGCTAGTGTCAGCAAACTTGCTAGTGTCCTTTCTTTTTCTCTAAAGTTTGCAGTCAGGCAATCAGTCGACATGCACTTACTAAGCGTTTACTTTGTACCAGACCTTGTGCTACACCTGGGGAATATAAAAATAAAGGCTAGAAATGACCCCGGCCCTTGAGGACCTCACACTGCAATGGGGGAACACAGCGTACAAGCGGCTAGTTATGAGAAAGTGTGAGACCTTGTAAGTGGGAGGTAGCCCCTGAGAGGAGAAAGCTAGGATGTTAGGGTCCAGCAGTACATTATCTGATCTTTTGCCAGGTAGCGTTTACCAGCTCCTCTCTTCCATAGAGGAAAAGTAAAGTCAGGGCTCAGGCAGGGGTGATGGAAGGCCACGTTTGGGGGACTAGTTACAGGTCATTGTAGCCCTTGAGCTGAGCTTTGAAGGAATCTAGGGATTCTGAGAGAGGAAGGTGAGGAGGTGTCAGGGTACGACTGCGGTAGGGAGATCTGGAAACCCATCCCACAGGCCTTCATTAAGCATGAATAGGAAGCAGGGCCTACAAAACCAGAGAAGGGAATTGTATTCCACTGATGGGAACAAGCATGGTTCAGGCACATCTCTGAGAAGTGAAGCATTGTGGATGAGGAACAGCAAATAGACTAAACTGTCTCATCTGTAGTGTATGAAGGGAAATGTAGGATGGAGAAAACAATGTCTTCACAAGGCCTTCTGCTCTGACTGCTAGAAGGAAAGATCTGAAATCTTGAGAGATAATGAAAAAATGTAGAAATGAAGGTGAAATTGCAATATCAGGTCTCAAACCATATTATAAAGCGGGACTCTTAACATTTATTTGGCGTTCATTAAAAAAAATGGAAAAGTGGATCAGTGGAACAGATTAGATCAGCAAGACTAGAAAGTAATAGAAAATGGTAGCTTATTGTTTACTAATCTGAAGAAGACTGACAGGGAAGAACTCCCTATTTAACAAGAACTAATGGGGACCATGGAAAGCTCTTTTTAAGAAAATAGGTTTAGACCAGCATCTTAGTAATGTACCATCTTAATCTCTAAATGGATGTGACCTATGCTTAAAAAGTAATATAAAAAATTAGAGCAGAATGGAAGGAGATACCTTTCATATCTATGGCTGGGAGAAAAAATTAACACTCAAACTGCAGATAGAGGAATGAAATGAAAATAGGCAAGTGTGATTATGTAAATTTTAACAACTTGGTATAAACAAAACCAGCGTAACTAAAAATTTCTGACTTGAATCTTGTCATGAAATATTTCTCACAGTCTTAGGGAATTAGCACAAATGACTTAAAGTCGAAGGGATTCCCCAGTA